TCCTGCTCGACCATGGTTGGCTTCGCTTGGAAGCATGGAGGAAATGATTCCTCTGTGTTGACCTTCCTCTTTATAGACTGGACACTGCTTCAAGTCCATCTGGTGGGGTCTCCTCAGTCTCCTTGATCAAGAGGGCAGGTGACCCACCACCATTATAGGACATTTTGAGAGATGCTCATAGTCCCCTGGAACTAGTTGACCTAGGATGGCAAGGAGTAAAAAGTGTCCTTTATTTCCCTCTGACCAAATTATTATAGGCTTTAAAGTATGTCTGTTAAACACCCAAGAAGGTTAGTTCCACCAGTCTAGTATTTTTAATTACTATGTATCATGTAGCTAAATCTTGGGCAAAGACCAGTTGTTCTCAGATAAACCTTACCTAGACATATATTTCTTGATCTGCTATGTATAATTTGCCAGTAGGTTGTAGGAGTAATATGGTTCCCTCTGGTCTTCAGACGATACCTTCTTTTGAATTGTTGGCCAGGGTGACCAAAGGGATTCCCAGATATAGCATAACCCAGCATAGAACTGGGAAAATGAACAGCAGACCCTAATCTTATCCAAAGGAATATTGAAAACTGATTACCACTAGATGAGGAACAGCTGACCCTCCTAAAACAAAGACCTCTCGATAGGCTGACTAGATTCACCAGAACGGCAAGTAGTAGGGAATGGCTGGGGGTGCTGATTAACACAGCAAACAGTAGCAGGGATATCAGAGTATAAGGGCTCTAGTGGGGGGAGGGAGGCTATGGGAGGGTGCTATCTAGAAGTGGGTGTAAAAAAATAAATTAAAAAAATTATTTAACTAAAGAATCTGAGATACCCTTCCACCAATAGAGTAGAGAGGGAACCAAAGTTTTTTAACACTTTTTTATCATTGAAATCCATCTTGTCCTTTCCATTCCCATAACAAGGTTGATGAGGGTTCTGAGTTTTGCTCTCAGGCTTTAGAAAGGTACATACTACAACTTAAGAGTTGAAGGGGAGAATTGGGCTTGTGGGCTCACGGTAACTACTAGCTTTCTTCCATAAAAGTTACATTTCCCCCCAATATCAAAATGGATGTCTATAGTATTTTGAATCAAATTCTTATCTCAGCCAATTCTTTCTATTAATGAGGCCAGTAAGATGAAGAGTTCAGAAAAAGTACATGAAGTTATCAGAAAAAAAGTGATGGGGAGATATGGGAGGAGTTGGAGGGGAGGGAGTGGGTATGGATTTGATCAAAACACCTTACATGCTTATATGCCTGTAGGAAATTCTCAATAAATTATTTTAAAAAGATGA